CCTCATGAAGTCGACGGTGTAAAAGGAGAAATAAAAACTGTTCATGAAAAACGACACTCAGGGCTGACGTCATCTAGCAACTCTCCACTATTCTCCTATAGGCACTTGGTTTTTAATAATTGTTTGTAACACAAGGTTTAGGTAAAAATCATTCTATTTTTATAGCAAATCATCTGTTAAAAAAAGAGACTCAACTGTCCATAAATGCCCAATGAGTCACCACAAGTGTAATGAGTGAGAGAGACAGTCAGATTGTATTATTACATAACTCAGTCTGTCGCTTCCGAGACTTTCGGAAAATTCAGGGAAATGGAAATCTTTACTTTCTTTTAGTTTATAAAATGTTTTCCAGGTGTCTCCAATCATTAAGACAGCATTAAGAGAACGCATTGGGCAGAGACCCTAAAAAATAATATTAACTGTCTGTTATCTGTGTATTGAATGCTGTCTTCTCAAACGTATTCTTTCAATTATCAAAAGTTGATTAGCGTAAGTTTCCCCTTCATGATATTTGTCATGTTTCTCAAAGGACAGCTTTCTTTCTCCCACATCGTCTCGTTGTTTTTATAAAGTCGACGGTGAAAAGAAGAAACAAAACCTGCTCGTTAAAAACGACACTCTTTCCTAGGGTAACCAAGCTGACCAATAATAATAATAATAATCATATCATTCTCCAACATGGGCATATTTTTTTGACGAAAATGTGATAGTTACACAAGGTAACAAATCTCACTATTTTGTTGTAATAAATTATTATCACCTCTAGATAAAATTGGACCATCAATCCAGAAACATCCAATAGATCACCATAAATGTAACGAATGAGAGAAACAGATTATCATATTAAAAACATTATTCACTTTATCTCGTCCAACACTTTTGGAAACTTCAAATGTTTTCCAATCGTCTTCAATCATAGAGGCGACACTGCAAGAACTATGTATAGCTTTGCTGAGAAAATCTGTACAATTTTACACAATCGTCCTTGAATTTCAAAAATATCAGCACAACTTCTTGACATGAACCTGCATGTCAAGAAAATCTCCAGTGGCCCTACTGTTTTTCCACTTTCCGTCCATTTCTAAAGCTGTGCTTTAGGCTTAAGTCTGAACAATATCACAGAAGCTGTCTGAATTATAAATTCACCAACACAATATCTGCACACAAACCTTAGAAAAACAAACATTGGCTTGTTGAGGTTTTTTTCGGTTGGTGGGTTGGGGGTAGGTCAAATTGCCAAACAGAACACTGTCATCTTGTCGTTTTTGGATTCCATAAACACCAGCGGAAGAACCTGGTGCTGAGTCAGAGTTTTCTGCTTTCATCTATAGGCCTATTACTGCTCCACCTGCATAACCTCGAAAACCAAACACATCAGCACAAGAGCCACTGAATCCAATCACAAACTGAGCAACATGTCTTTCTGTTCGTGTTTTTTCCTTCCCAGCGTTTCGTCGGAGAGTCCTATCTCTTCAGCATGTCCTCCAAAAGCACAGCGTTTCTCCTCCTCCTACTTCCCCATGCCCTTCCTTCCCCTTCTCCTAACATCCTCCGAGTCCTCCTTAATCCCAGCTGGACAATAAGTTTCTCCTCCTACACCACATTGCTGGAATCTGCCTCCATATTGAATACGTCATCCTCTCTGTCACCGTTTGACCTGCACAGAAAACAGAGCCAAACTCAAGCATCCACACAACATCCAAAGAACATAACATTTGTTAAAATTACAGGGTTTCAACAAATTAAATTTCAAAAGTCAAATATCTGTTTACAAACACAATGCATTCCCTTTTAGTACTTCAAGGAAACTAGACTAAAATTTCTCTTCCGTGTGAGCAGAATAAATAAATAATGGAGACCTTTCACTAGGAACTGGCTAAAATAAAACTGCATGTACTTTTGTTTCTTTATTGACAGTACAAGACCACACAAAATAGTTCACCAACCCCCTTTGAAAAGTTGATTGTTTGACAGGTGTTCAGTTGCTATTCTCAATAATTATATGCCACATATTGATATGAATTATGAAATAAATTTATGGTGTCCCATAAAATAACATTGTTGATTGTAATACAAAATTTACAGTTTAAGACGAGTAATGGAATATCACCTCCCTCCCTCCCCCTATAAAACTACACCCACACATATAGGTGCACAAGTGAAATATTGCTCTACGCACTGTGCATCAAAAGAAACCCATAAGCACGCCATGATATACATAATATAGCAAAGAAAACGAAACAAAACAGTCAAGGATTTAAAAATAAAAAACACACAACCACAAAGATCACTGCATCTCCCGCTTTCTTTTTCTGAGGACACCTGATCTATGAATTGATCAGTTTCTAAAGAATAGATTAGTTTCGATTTTTTTTTCAAATTCCAGATCTGCTTCTATGTAGTTACTATTTTTAGTCATACGAAGTTAGCAAGATCTCACCTTAAGCCACGGTTAACTGAACTTCAGTGGAACCGTGAAAGAGAGGTTCTTATCCAATCCTTGTTCACCTTTCTGCGAGTTATCGACTGGTGCTTCTGAACCCTTTCACTTTGCCTCACTCAAGGTTTTAACACTTTTTAACCCCAGAAAAAGAACATCTTTACTCTATATCTACAGCATTTTACCTTGATTAATTTAAATGGTATCCCAACACAACTTCATTCATATCTTAGACCCTAAAGACAAACTCCGATGAGACATCTTACCAATGTCACAAACGACTTTTTGTTACTATATCATATGTTGTTGTTTTTTTAGTTCGTCTGTACAGCTATTCTATCCAGACTCGAGTCTTACCTGTTTCCATCAAAACCGCACATTTTCCAAAGTTCTTGTGAGATAAAATCCTTTAGGTCTCCATATATAATGTCTTCTACAGATACATCAGCAATGGGGACATCCATATGGAGATTCTGGACAGTTTCAACATGACGATCATCTGGAACCTCTTTCTGCTGGCCCGCATCTGTACATGGACAACAAATAAATAAATAAATAAATAAATACACATGGAAGGAAAGAGAGAAAGAACGAAAGAAAGAAAGAACGAAATTAAGAAAGAACGAAAGAAAGAAAGAACGAAAGAAAGAAAAAACAAAAGAAAGAAAGGAAGAAAGAAAGAAAGAAAGAAAGAAAGAAAAACGAAAGAAAGAAAGAAAGACAGAAAGAAAGAAAGAAGGAAAGAAAGAAAGAAAGAAAGAAAGAAAGAAAGAAAGAAAGAAAGAAAGAAAGAAAGATATAAAAAATTATAACACGATAACAAACAGGGATATGTCAGAAGAGTTTGGTGGATGTGATGCCAGTGGGACACAGGAAAAAACAAGCTCATGAACTTATAAAGCGAACAAGGGATATTTTCTTCTTTAAAAGAAAAAAAAAAAAAGATTTCAAGTCTGAAGATCATCATGACAGCGTCAGGTAGATACTTTAAACATCGGTGTATAGTATACCAGGTCAGTGACGGTAAAAGGATTAATTCATTTAGTGTTTGGTAAAACGAGCTTCCTGTGTATTATAACATTAAAAAAGAGAGAAAAAAGATATAAACAGGATGTCATGTCACTGGTCTGCTGATACCACACTGAAAACATAACAGTGTGTTTGCGTGGCTATGCATTGGTCTGCCGAGAGTGAGTTTGTTTATGGTGAACTAGCGTGACAAATGATGCCTGAACAAATTGTATGCTAAAATCAGCCAACAAAACTTTCCAAACTCAAGGAGCCGAAAACCTTGTCAAATTATTTCAATAAAATAAAAACTTTGCAATTTGTGTAGTAGAAGTCTTCTACTCAATATGTATCTTTTAATCCCAATGGCAGAGAGAGAGAGAGAGAGAGAGAGAGAGAGAGGGGGGGGTGGAGGGAGGGAGAAAGAGAGAGAGAAAGAGAGAGAGAGAGAAAGAAAGAGAGAAAGAGAGAGAGAGGAGAGAGAGAGAAAGAGAGATAGAAAGAGAAAGAGAGAGAGACAGAGAGAGAGAGAGAGAGAGAGAGAGAGAGAGAGAGAGAGAGAGAGAGAGAGAGAGAGAGAGAGAGAGAGAGGTGTGTGGGGGGGGGGAGCTGACTCTTTGATTATTAGAAAAATAACAACTTACCCAATTGAAGTTGGGGGTGTGGTTCTTCGTAAACATGACTGGCGGTCTCGTCAAAAGGATTTATGGAATTCTGAAGAGATGACGTTGTCGCTTCCTCCGCCTCGTCCACGTCGCTCCGGCCACACAATGAAAGTGTCTTTCTCTCGCTAGCACCGGGGTCGTTGTTGTTGTTGCTCTTATTGTTGTTGCTGCTCCCGATGTTGTTATTGTTGTCATTGCTACTACTGCTGTTTTTCTTGATGTTACTGTTGCCGGTATTGCGACTCTTGCGGCTGCTGCTGTGGCTTCTTTTGCTACGTTTGCTGCTGTCGTTGGTGTACGGCGACACGGCACCCACACTAGTCACGGACTGGCTCTCCGGCGGGCTCTTTATTTTGTCCCTCGACGAAAAAGAAGAGAGTGTCGATGTCCTCGTCTGGGACGTCCCAGGTGGAGAAGCGGCGTCACCGTCTGACGAGTCTCTCTGGCCCGGGGGTTTGCCACCACCAGATTTCAACAAACGCCGACACTCCACAGACTTTGTTTTCACCTTCTCTTTCTCCTCAGCCTTTGGCCTCTGCTTCTTCTCCTCCTCCTTAGCCTTAGGTCTCTGCTTCTTCTCCTCTTCCGCAGGCTTTTGTCTCTGCTTCTTCTCTTCCTCCTTAGCCGTAGGTCTCTGCTTCTTCTCCTCTTCCGCAGGCTTTTGTCTCTGCTTCTTCTTTTCCGCCGCAGGCTTTTGTCTTTGCATCTTCTCTTCCTCGTCAGCCTTAGGTCTCTGCTTCTTCTCTTTCTTGTTTTTCGAGGTTGCCGCAGTGGGTCTCACTCTCTCTTCAGCCATAGCAAGAACTGCCTTAAAGTCAACGGGCTGGGGGACGCCGCATTTGTTAGCGTGTCTGACGATTGGCTTCTTTGGTGGTTTAGCAGGTTCCAGGTTCGTTTCTCTAGAAGATAACGGTGGCAGACTGTGCTTCCTTCTGTTGTCATGATTCCCTGACGACTGACTGTGAGAAGACCTGAAACGTTTACTGCTACTACTGCTGCTGCTGCTGCTGCTGCTTTGGTGAGTCGACTTCCTTTTTCGACCGGTATTGTTTTCCGTGTCTGAGTAGTCTTTCTTTTGGGCTCTCTCCCACGCCTCCCTGGCCATCCGAGCTATCTCCTCTCTTTTTCGTCTCGCTTCTTCCTCAGACAGCGTGCTATACAAGTCAGAGAAATCGCTGTTGCTTTGTTTTATCTTGGGAATTCTGTACCCCTCCATTTTCTGCTCTCCCCTTTCCTCTCTATTTCTCTTTCCGATCTGGCTGACTTTGCTGAAAGGAGAATGAAAAACAATAGACTTAGTAAAGTAGAGAAAATCTTGTAACCAAAATTAAGGACATTCAATATCGTACAGCTCATTCTCAAAAGACTGACCTATTGCTTGCAAGAGTTTGGTTTTTATAAATACTTTTCATATTTCAAATGAGTTGATCTTGTAAATAGATTCTACTTCTTTACTCTCCCTTTGTAGTTTCCGTCTACCCATTTGGCTTTCCCTATGTATTAAGTGACCGTTTTAGAACATAATACTAATATCTGTCAGTATGAGTCTGTCTTTTTAAAATCAAATTAAGCAAGAACGCTTTCTACAATAATAGCAATCATTAGAAGATAAGGTTAAAGGGATACACGATCCCGGTAAAAAGATCGAGATACTCGATAAAATTTCTCTCTACTTGGGAATCGCACAACGAGTTATCTTTACGCTACTCCAGACGCTGGTCATTTAAATACTACCCCCCCCCCAAAAAAAAAAACAAACAAACAAACAAACAAACAAAAATTTAAAAAAAATTATTAAGATTATGGTACAGGGTTTGGTGAGTACTGGAAGAAAATCAGTGGCCCCAGAGTCCGATGCAAGTAGCAAGTTAGCTCAAACCAAAGAGGTTATGGCTCGACATGATGCTCAAACATGGGCTGTGGCCAAGTATTGTGTGTGTCTAAGTGTTGGGTATGGCGTGTGTTTCAAGCAAATATAACAGAGCAAAGTCCCTCCCCCTCCCCCTCCAAAAAAGGGGTCCAACCTGGTGCTGGAAGATGGAAACCAGCAATAGCGTGTTTTAAAAACTGAATGCACTTATGTGATTTTGTCCATTATGTAAGGTTGATATGCTACTTCAGATATAGTCTAGTCTATCTATTGTTGCAACCCACAGGCGGTTTTATTTGTTTAGTTTTTTGTTGTTTGTGTGTGTGTGTGTGTGTCTTAGTGTGTGCGTGTGTGTGTGTGTGTGTGTGTGTGTGTGTGTGTGTGCGCGTGCGTGTGTGTTAGTGTG